AATAAAGCGACTATCTCTATCGCTAACTATAGACAGTGGGATTCCATTCTCGCTCACCCAACAGTCGAAGAATCTCTGTATGACTAAATCAGTACGTGCCTCTGAAGGCAAAGAAACAAAAACTGCGTACTTGCTAAAGCGGTCAACTATGACCATGACTTGGCTCTTGCCATGCCTGCTTTTGACGTGAGTGTCCATGAAGTCTATGGACACCGAGTCTCCCGGCTGATCCGGAATGGGCAAGGGTCTGAGAAGACCTAACGGTGCTCGCGTGCTACTTTTGTTACGCTGGCAAACCTTACAACTGCGAACATACTCTACGCAGTCATTCTTCATCCCTGGCCAGGTATATGCGCGCATCAGGTTGGCTAAAGTCTTCTGCCAACCAAAATGACCCTCTGTGTCATGGCATTCTCGCAGGATCAAACTGCGGATCTCTTCACTATTGGGGATGCACAACCGGTCAAAAACATTAGTCTTCTCAAAAAGCAACCCTTCAGTAGTGCGGTAGTTGGGCTCAGTCTCTGGGGCCTCTCTAACTTTCTTAAGGAGGTCACTATAAATAGGGTCCTGCGCGTAGGCCTCTCTAACTTTCTGCTGCAGGTCCTTCCCTATATCGAGGTAATGTACTATTGCCCCAAAATAATCAGCTCTTCTACTCAGAGCATCCGCAACTACATTGTACTTCCCTTTGACAGGCTTGAGCTCGAAGTCGTACTGATCTATCTCGGCGGCCCACCTAGTAAGCTTAGGTGTCATCTTGGCCTGCGTCTTTAACCATCGTAACGTTTCATGGTCAGAATAGACTTTGAAGCGCCTCCCAAGCAAGTAGTGCTTCCAGTGGTCTAAGGCTTGCCTGAGAGCGTAGAGTTCCCTCTCATAGGTAGATGTCGCGACCTTCTCTGAAGGCATTCTGGCAGACATGAACTCTACGGGTCTATACCCATTGCCATCGTCTTGCTGTAACACTGCACCTATGCCGTATTGACTAGCATCGGTTGTGACGACAAAAGGCAAGGACGGATCGACGACTTTAAGGACTGGATACTCTATCAAGGCCTGCTTCAATTTCTTCATGGCAAACGTACAGTCCTTGTCCCACTTCCAGATGGTCTCCTTTCTCAACAGTCTGCGAAGGGGCGCAGCGATGGTGGAGAAGTTCCTCACGAACTTCCTATAGTAATTAGCTAAGCCCAGGAACGAGCGCAACTCCGTCAGCGTACGTGGCGTGGGCCAATCTCTAATTGCTGCGATCTTGCTATCCTCTGGCTTAACGCCGTCTCCGTCTAAGACGTGGCCTAAGTACAAAACTTGGGTTTTCGCCCAATCGCACTTCTTTGCATTGATCTTGAAGTTAGCTTCCCTCAACTTCTCCAAGACCTGCTTGAGATGACCCTGATGCTCTTCGAGGGTCCTGCTAAACACTAGAATGTCATCTAGATAAACTACAACAAATTTGTCTAATCACGGCCTAAACAAATCGTTCATACAGCGTTGGAACGTGGCTGGCGCGTTGGTTAGTCCAAAGGGCATCACTATGAACTCGTAGTGCCCATATCTAGTCTGGAAGGCTGTCTTATAATGATCATCAGGATGCACCTCTATCTGATGATATCCGGACTTCAAATCTATCTTAGAAAAATACCTCGCCCCCTGCACTCGATCTAAGAGATCGTCTATCCTAGGCAGTGGCTCAGCATTCTTTACTGTAATAGCATTCAGACCCCTATAGTCTATGCACATCCTCAACTCTCCCTCTTTCTTAGGGACAAAGAGAACAGGCGCTCCAAACGGAGACGAACTGGGCCTAATCCAACCCTTCTCGAGGAGCTTGTCTAAGTGCTTGCGAAGCTCCTCTAACTCCCGCGGGGACATCCTATACACAGCACCCTTAGGAGTTCTGCTGCCGGGCTCTATCTCAATGCGGTGCTGGATGGGCCGCGGTACCACTCCTACCGGCGACTCAGTTAAATCTTTAAACTCCTCCAGCAGTTTGGCAATCGCAGGGTCCATCGGCTTCTCCTTCGTAGGCTCAGTCACTGGCCTGACATAGGCAACAAAAACCTGTTCCTCTAGTTTCTCCTTTTTCACCAATCTGGCGAACGCGGGGGCACTAAGGCAGCAATGCGCCAAGGAATTCTCTACTCCTGACACATGAAACAGGCGGGCAGTCTTAGCCTTGCCTGACGAACTAGGGAGCCTACACTCATGCTCTTTCAAATGGAGCGCGGCCCCGGCGGCCTCTCCCCAATCCATTCCCAGGACAATATCGAATGGGAGGCTGTCTTCTACGAGGAGAGTCAGGGAGTGGAGGACCTTTTTACTTTCCCATCCTTCTCTAGRCGAAAATACGCCTGGACTCCCTCTACATACTCCTCTACAACCATTGTACGATTGTCTGCGAGGATATTAACTATAGGGTCTGCTAACTTTTGGACTTTAAGTCCCAACTTCAACTTCTGCAGCGCTTTCTTACTAATATAGCTGCGGGTAGCCCCTGAGTCTACTAGGGCCCCTACTCTACCTCTAAAAATCTCTACATTTAATAAGATCAGCTGCCCTTTATTCTCCTTCTTCATCTTGGCCCAGGTGGGCCTCCTCTCCTTCAACTCTTCGGCCACGCCTGTGAGGGAGGTGTCTAGCGAAACTCTAACACAAGCAGTTTCGGGACTGCTGTCTAGACACCGGCCTGCAACCTCTGCCTTAGGCACATGTGGTGTGGGAGTCTCCTGCCGGCTAGCGCTATGTTCCCCACATGGCCTAGTGGTAGGGGCAGTTGCTACCCCTACCGGTGGCTGCCTTTTGGCCCCTGGGCAGCTGTTCGGGTCTCTCGATACTTAGGACAGTATTTGATGATGTGGCCCGGGTCACCACAGAAAATGCACTGGCCCCGGTCCAATCGTTGTTGCCATAAAGTCTGGTCCAGACCCAAAGTTTCCCAAGGCCTACCCTGCGGTAGCCCTGGGTGCCATCCTCCTACCCTATAGGGAGACCTGTTCCTAGGACGGTTTTGCGGGGGACCTTGACCCGTGCCTCCCGCTTGGCGGTTTCCTCCTCGGCCGCCAACCCCCTGATCGCCTTGAAACCGGTTCCCTGAGGCCCGACCCCCTTGGCCCTGGCCTCGTCCTCCTTGCGGCCTCCCTCCAGCCGCGACAGCATCATAAGTCTTCCCCTGGCCCACACCGCTGTCATCCTCCTCTAACCCCCACTCAATCTGATCGTAGGGGATCTCATCCACACTACCCTCGTCTAGAGTTAGGACAAGGCTATCCTTAGTCTTCACTTGCCCAGAGGTAGTGCGGCCCTTCCATTGCTTTCCCTTATCCAAGTCTTTGTGCCAGAAGGTAGACACAGATGCTGACTTGGCTTCAAAGGCCACCACTTCACGACTAAGAGAATCRYACGTAGTGGCCGGATCTTCGCTCTTCGCGAAGAMGTGCCCTCGCAAGGCTTCGGGGATAGCCCGATAGAAGAGGCCGACCAGTTGGGTGTCTGTGACCCCATGGTCAGGAACAACGATTAATTCATCCATCGTGCTCTTGAGTGCCTTGGCACTCTTCCACTTACGAGCGTGGATTGTCTGGAGCCTATCTGATGCCTTGACACTTCGAGCGACATCTGCAAATCGCTCGCGCGGCAATCTCATGAACTCAGTGAGGGAAGTAAACGTCGAATAGGCAACGGGATCGTCACTGCAGTTGGCAGCGCGAACAAGGGATCTTGCGAAACTGGCGGCCTCATCTCTAAGTGTGTGGATCGCAATTAGAACTTGCTGATCCGGGGAGACCTGTTGCAAATGCACGTAGGTCTTAACGTTGGCCTCCCAGTTATCAAAGTTCTCTTCCCTCTTCCCACTGTAAGAATTAGGGAATTTGACCTTGACTGGCTCTCTACGCGGCGGGCGTGGTTCCTCCTCCTTGGGAGTTGCCGCCTTGACGCCCTCAATGGCGCCAACGCAAAATCGTTCAGTCTTCTCGAGGGGATGATTCACCTCGGATCCTATCGCGCCTACCAATTCGCGAGCAAAGTCCCAAAACCCCATTCGTATGGAGCGCACAGCCATGTCCTGACTTCGACTAAAATCGTACTGTTGTTCTTGTATCCGGGCTAAGCGCTCGACAGTCTGGGCGATGAGTTCTACCTTTTTCTCAAGGTCCACCTGAGGGGTCAACCTCAGGGTTAGTTGCTGCATCTCCCCTAGGTCTTTGACCGCGTCAATCGCCGCGTCCACTTTCTTCTTCTTTTCCCTCATCACTCTCAGCTTCCACTCCATCCTCGTTTCATCCTCCATTGCCTGCCGCCTCACAACATCCCTTTCTACTTCCCACTCCTTCATAGCGGCCTCCTGCTCGTCCTTGGGGATATACATGGCTACCTCTTCTTCTTCTCCCAGGGACAAGTTTGCGACCCACTCTGAGATCCGCTTCTCCATCTCATCATCTTTGCTGCCACTGTACTGCCCTCGCTGTTCTCTTCTCGTCTCCAGTGGCTGATCATCTTCCTCCTCTTCTTCTTCCACCTCCTTCAACTTTGCTTCCTCCTCTTTCTGTATCCTCTCCTTCTCTTTRGCCATCTCTTCYTCTATCTTCTTCAATTTGGCCGCCTGCTCCTCCTTCAAGGCTTTCTTCTTGGCCTCTTTCTTCTCCTTCCTCTCCTGCAGAATGGCGGCCATCTTCTCCTCCTCCTCCTTCATGTAAGGGTTGGTGGAAGTACCACCACGAGTGGGCCATACTCTACACGTGAAAGTGGGCCAAAAACCCAGAGGAAAGAGGAGACGCCAGAGGGTCCCCCAGAGAGAGAACCCAACCAGCAACCCATACATCGGATAGTCGTCCATTGTGGCGTCAGGTGCACGACAACGTCCCACTCCTCACCACTTAGACCTACCCGGACACATTGACCTACTCGCTAACTCTCTAAGATCCACTACTCACTACTACTCTAAGGCTGTCACTACTGAACCCAAAGCTGATCAGGAGGCATTTAAGGAGATCCCCCAAACTGAATTCTTTAACGTCGCAGACAGGACGACGTGATCAGCTTGGTTCCTCTGGTGATTTCAGCCCACAACTCAGCCGTTCCAACCTGCTGTGCCACACCGAGCAGCCCGCCGGTCTGTACCGGTCCTTGGAGGGGTTCGTATCCCTCGGGACAGTCGAGTCGTCACACACAGATCATCTGCTGTAGTAGGTCCGGTAGGGGAGTGGTTCAACCAGGCCTCAACACTTAAAGACGGCCCTCGTTTCAGCCTACAGCCCGGAGTTCGGACCCTTCACACTGAACTCAGTAGACCTGCCGGTCAGTACCGGTCATTGGGCTAGACGAGTTGTTTAACGAGCGCTCGCCGCTCATGCCCAGGTCTCCAGATGCCAGAGTAAAGCTTTGGTCCTACTAAGCCCGTGCAGGTTTGGCAGCAAGGCCCTATCCTTCATCCACAGAGTCCTAGCACCTAGGACAGAAGAGACTCAATGCAGAAAGGAGAGACAGACAGACTCAGCAAGTACCGCGGGGTAGTGCACATCCACAAGGTAAGGGGGTAGGCTGAAGGGTCAACGAGATATCACCAACTCCAGCTTGGTCAAAATCTTGGTCAGCAGCTCCGGTCAAGGCCTTGGTCAACGCCTAGTCAACCCTCTGGTCAACCCTAGGTCAACCCTCTGGTCAACGGTCTGGTCAACGCCTCACCTCGGCTATGGCTGCCGGCACCTCCACCTTCGTCACCCTCGCCGTCTACTTCCCATTCCTTC